AATATAAGGGAATGATCAAGGAATAAAATAAAATGAGAAGGGGCGATATTATATATAAATTAATGAAGTGTCAACTGTCAAGAGTTTCATACTGAATATCCATTATATATATTGCCCCTGTTTGACCCACATTATTTTTTTCATTATCATTCTTCTACTCATTTTCAAACACACATTCTTCAATAAATAATATTTTTCATCACATCAATAACTTTTCCTTTATTTTCAACCACATATTCCTCATCACATCACTTCAAAAAATACATTCTCTCATTTTAATGTGTACCAAACAGGCTTGAAACATCATTGTGATTAATTAATTGTCACATCAGACTTTTGTTCACCAACTCAACTTTGTCTTTAGTTAAAATAGAGATTGTTTCACGCGAGTAGTCGCTCACAATTAAAAAAGATTCAGACGATTATGTAAGGAACATACCTCTTGAGATAAAGTCCCAAAAATAGGTATTTTATTAGCGATGATTTACAATTGAAAATAAACAGAATGCCTCCAAGAGGCGTAATCACACGAGTACTAAAAGAAGTGTTTAAATTTAAGCTAAGAAATTAAAATTACATATTCTCTGTTTGATAGTATTTGATTTGGGGTGTTCTTCTCTATGTCTTCTCTTCTTTTTATACTTTCTTGAAAATTTCTTCATGACAAACTGCTGCTTGTTTGCTATATAACTACTCACTTTCTTCATGATGACTGATTTGTTGTGGAGCCGTTGTCTCTAACTGTTGCCATTACTTTCGTCGTTCAACCGCCTACAACTGTGATTCTTGGATCTTGGAGTGTGATAAGGTTGCTCAATAACCGCTTCAATAACTGTTGCTCTGGATAACCATATTACTTCATATTTGCTAAGATCTTGGGTGATTCGAAGGTTTGGGAGAGAATATGCTCGTTCGCTCTAGGCGATTTTAAGGCACTCCACTCGCTCAGATCTTGGGCGTCTTGCAAGATTGGGCGATGACGGTACATTGTTCGTGGGCTTCCACTGCATTCAATAATCCTATTTGAGCATTTATCATGAACTCCCCAATTGGACTTTACTCTTTCAACTATTTAATTTGGGCTGTACTTTTAGTGTGTCAACAGAGATTAAAGTAGTAAATTATCCGAAGTTGAGTGGCAATTCTTGCTCCCGACCTTTTTGGTGTTCTAGAGTTCTAATATATGTAGATAGAAATTGATAGTACCCCTTCTTTCACCTCCGAAGAATGAAGGGGTACGGCCACCCTAAGTTACTTAAGAGTCGTGAACCTTTTTTTTTTTTTTGTAGAAAGCAGTTACTTATTCAATTATTCTCAAACATATTACTTTGATTTTGATATGTATTTTATTTTATTGTTTTTATGTAGTGTGCTTATTCAGTCATTATGGATTTAAATAAATTATCTCAAGTTCAGATTAAAGCAACATAGGTGATTGATTTGTCCACGTGGGGAACCAAAAAAAAAGAATTAAAAAATAGCAAAACATTATGAAGCCAACCTTTGAATTAAAATGTGTCTGTTTAATCAAACATCGGTCAGATTTCAAGGGTCAAACTTAATCTACTTGAAAAATGAAAATTCAACTATATCATGTTTTCTTGTTGCAATACCTGTTTCGAATTTTAAATTATTATTTTTAACGAATCGAGTTAACGATTTGATTAATAATAATTAATCGATTATTCAAACGATGTCAATGTTGGGAAATGAAATGAATCGATGTAATATATACAACAAAATATGAAGTATATAATCGCAAATAAACAACAAGATAAAAGACAAAGAATTAATTGACAGATGAATTAAATATTTTATTCAATTGACTAATATGAAGAAAACAAATACGATAATTGTGCTTATACAATTATTCTATATTTCAATAATACAAAATTTGTGAAAAAAGTCTAGTATTTATAAGTGTGGCTGCAAAACCATAGAAATACCACAGAAATGAATATAAGATAAAAAATCACGTGAAATAAAAGAAACAATATTTCCTCAAAAAAATTCAATCTAATTTGAGTCAAAAAAATCCAACAGTCAGGTGGGAACATATTTGTCTCATTAATTTCTCAATAATATACCCCCACACTCTTCCACATAAAAATCTACTAAAATTTTGATTTTATCAAAATCAAATAAAGGCAAAATGTGGAGTCATACTCACTTTATATTTTAAATTTTAATTATAAAGAACTGGTTGGACTCCTAAAAAAGAATGTATCTCATGAAGAGAATGAAGCCAATCTCTGAACTGTGCTCTTTACTTTAAGGCCCTGTTTGATCCACCCAAATTTTCCATGGAAAATGGAAAAGAAATTCCAACTTCCATTTTAGGCATGTTTGATATACTTTTTTTTCTTGACAATTCATTTTTCTTGATTTTGACTCACACGCATCCAATATCTTGTTTTTTATGAAAATGAATTCCCACCAATTTGGTGAGATTTGGTTTTCCAGGTTTTATTTTTTATTTTTTCTTGCAATAAAAACAAATTCTATGGACAATTATAAATTTTTTTTCCCTTTAATGGACAACCATGGAAAACAAAGTCAAACGAACATCAAAAGATCCAAAATTTCAACATTTTCCAGGTGGAAAATTGTATAAATCAAACAATTAATTGACAATTCCCAAAAAAACAATTCTACGTAATTCAATTTCCTGTAATTCATTTTCTTTCCACCCAAATTCCACTCTTACAATCAAACGGACCCTAAAATTAGTATGAAAATGAAATTCTTGTATTTCATAATTATTTTACTACATGACTTTATTAGAATGTTGAGTTCGGTTAATCCATGACAACAGTAATGTCCTCTTTAAATAACTCATGCGAAAAAAAATTTAAAAAAGTTACCGAGAATAAAATATAATGTCAATCTAAAGTCTAAGCAGAAAAATAAAAATCTAAGTAGAGAAAAAAATAAAAAAAGAATTGTCCATAGCAACTAGTTAAAATGGTTCACCACCACTTGTGATTTGCATTTGCAAAGACACCCGTATTTCCCAGCAATAATAGAGCAACCACTGTGAGGCATGCCAAAATCAGCCACATCCAAGGCTGCCACCTTTTCTTGTTTCGATTGCGAACAGCTGCTGGAGGGATATTATATTTCGACTTACTTTGTTTTGGAAGTCTTTTAGTACTTGCTGTTGCTGCAGAATTCGTCTCCTTTATCCCATCGTTCTCCAACACAATTTCTGTTTGACTTTTAGTGCTTTGCACGACCTCACTTACATTCGTGTTCTCATGGACTTCTCTTGGAGTCTTTTGTTCCTTCTTTTTCAACCTCTTCTCCCTCTCCTGCACAAACACGTTCATCCATTAGTACTAGTCAACCACATCAATGAACCAGACATTGTAGAGGAAGAAAACTCACCTTTTCTTTCTGTTCAGCTTCCTTCTGTGCTCGTTGTTCAGCTCTCTTTCGAGCTTTCGCTGCATTCCTCTTCTTCCTCTCAAGTGCCGACTTAGCCTTTTCTATTTCCTCCAGCCTAAGTTGCTCTTTCAACTTGGCCTTAGCCTCCTCTCTCGATGGCTCCTCCACATTCCTTTCCAGCTCCACCTCTTCCTTTGATTTCATTGGTTTTTTGTCTATCTCATTGATCACATCCTCGCCAGAAACAGTTGCTATGGCATTCACCAATACAGGTTTAGAAAGTTCCTTATTTGTCATCGCCCTATTCTTAGGTTCTAAAAATTCCAGAGGAGAACTTTGTATGGAACCAGCCTTCGCTGGCATTAAACCCAGCTTACCAACTCTTTCATCCACGTAACTGGGAAGATTAGGTGGTGCCTTGTCAAGGCATAGCGAACGACCATCCAGAGTTCCAAATCTCGTGAGAGCACTCCTTTCATTTTGCTTCACATATTCCTTTCTGAACTCATCGTCCGTGTTCCAGAGTTCCATCACTGTTTCCACCTAAACAATCCGCACAAATACAAAAAGTTATAGACTCCATTTTCATGTCAAAGACAGACAATAGAATCAAAAGGTTAACCTGATTTATGCAAAGATGGTGAAGCCCCTCTCTATCTTTGTTAAATGCACAATCCCTGGCTGCAGCTGCATCACCCATGTACTTGCGAAAATATTCGTTCTGCAATTTAAAAATTAATTTAAGCCCACACAACCAAATAATTGTACCTTAGGAAAAGGAAAGTTGTGACACTTTATGGCCAAGGAAATACAAGATACATGTCGAATAAAGGAACATAAACTTAATCTACACATATAGTAAAAAGACAGAAGAAAAATAAAAAATAAAAAATTAATCTTCTTGAAATGACATTCAATACTTGTTTCACATAAATGCCTTCACTTCCATCCAAATCCATTTTAAATTAACCTCAAGGTAATAAGAGCATATACAGAATAGAGGGAGGGCTCAAAATCTAACAACAAATTACTAACTTGAGAAATTCTTTAAAACGAAATCTTAATACAAGGAATAACTAAGCAATAAATGCTAATTTTACCATCAAAAGTGCCTGTTTTGAGAACAAATCAACAACAATAATAGAACTAGATGTCTATTTAGTATTTATCATATGTGTTCCTTTAATATGTTAACAGAGGATATCTTTCCACAGCTAATTGCACGTCGGTTTCTCATATCCCCTCAATCTGGGAGTGTGAAGAAATTATAAACCACTATGAACAAGCAAGGGGATATGAGTTATAAAGGGTTAATAACAAAGGGGGTGTTTCTTTACATATTTAGAAAGGAAGGCATCATCTGACTTCTGAATTCAATTAAATCTTATGCTTATATACACGATTTTTAGGCAAGATTTCAGCAAAAATGGTAACATTATAGTCAGATGGATTGCTATTAGTGAGAAAAATGGCCCAAACTTAATCATTAAACATGATGAAAGTAAACACATAATGTGAAAAAGGCAACTGACCTTCTCAAAAAGTTCTTTTCTCAGACTCTGCAATTGAGCATATGCTGTTTGGCGAATATCATCTGCAGCTCTGAACTGAACGCGTAGTTCTTCAGCTTTCCTATTTTCATCTTCACGTTCCCTACCTGCAGCAGTAGCAGCTTCTTCAATTTTTGAGATCCTATCTTTGAGGCCATCGAGCTCCTTCTTTAAGATCTGCATATGATGACACCGTATTATTAACTTAAAAGAGTAACTGAAAGACGGCTATAAACAAATCTGGCGTTTATGATGTATAATTTTTCCTGCTACACAAGACAACCTTAAAGAATAAACGAAGGCACAGAAAAGCAAATTTGAAATGTCTGTCACACAATAAGATGGAGTAATTATATTTTTCTATCTCTTTGATTCCATAGACTAGCAAGAAACATGATGCCATATGCAAACTGAAAGTATGTCTTGATATTATGCACAACAAAATCAGATATTCATACCTTCAAATGCTCTTCAACTTCCTCTCTCTGCTCCAAAGCCTGTTGGATTTCATCTTGGCTACCAATGCTACGCGACAATTTTTCACGCTGCTGTTTCAATTGTTTGATTTCACGAATCAGCTGTTTTTCCTCCTTTAGGGTAAGGGTTTCATGCTGTGTCATATGTTCCATATTGCATATCTGCCCAGGAAATTACTGAATCACGTAACATATGCATGCATACTTTCAAGAGAGGGAGAGTGAAAGAGCTTACTTGTCTATCTAAATCCTCAAGAGTCATCACACTTTTGGCCCTATTAATAACAGAATGAAGATTATCTATTTCCGAGCGCTTTGATCTCACTAACTTCCTTGCAGCTCCTCTTTCAATCATTGCAGCTTCGTATTGAGCACCACGAGCTCGATAGTTTTCCTATAATAAGAAACCCAAACACTGCATAAATATTACTCACTTGAAAATTATAAGCTTGTTTGAGCCCCATTTTTTTTGCAAAAAATGCATTTTGCGATAGTGTTATGATGGAGAATGTGTGATTAAAAATAAGGAAAAAATTTGAATTTACGAGTAATATTATTTCATTGGATAATGTGTGGTTGTAATGAGGTTAAATTACTGTTCAAGAATGCATTTTGATAGAAAAATGGGGCTTAAACAAGGGCTATATAAGAAAATTTTCTATGGAAGAAGATTTTACCCTTGTCTTCTGAATTTCAAGTTGAATAACATTCCTGAGCCGAGTCTTCTCCTCAACTTCTAGCTGAGCATGTTTTATCTGTTCTCTCAGTTTCCTATCATTGAACTTTGGTATCCTAACAAGAAAGAATGGCCTTGTTGCAGCCTCAACACTCAAGTTTTCTTGAGCAAGCATGACATCAGTAGAACCTTTTGGAGAAGCCGTTGAAATTCCATTCCCATTGTCCTCACATTCATTTGCATCATTGGTGGTACAACCTAGAATTATGTTGTCAACAACTGGGTCGTTCTCCTCATTAATTTTTAATCTTAGACCATCACTAGAGGAAGAAGAAACCTCGTCAGTGCTTTTAGCATCAGAATTTTTAAGTTGAGGTTCATGAGTCTCAAAAATTGAAGCTGGAAAGTTGTCGGTTGTTCGGCAAACATCAATCAAAATTTCAGATTTTACGGCTTTAGGTGATTCTTCTCTGCAATCAGGATGTTCAAACGGTTCTTCAGGACGTGGAGGTAGAGGGAAATTTTCTTTATTTACTTTAGAAGCATGGTCATGAACAATTATTGTTTTCCTCGAGGGAGTTTTCACCATGTCAGCCCAGCGCCTCGAAAACAATGTCCGAGACTTCTCTGCTTCTAATTCTGTCTTTTTCTTTTCCTCATTAATAAGTGGCCAGGATTTGGGATCCAAATGCATAGAAGTGGTAACGGGAACTTCCTCTGAGCTCACCTCCCCAACTCCAATCTTTCGTAATTCACATTCAACATCTGCAACCACATCAATTGCTCGATTATAACCGGGGCATTTTTCAATGGCATCACAGGACACAATAATGTCCGACAACGAATTATTTAATTCCACACCCTCAGCTAATTGTGTGTCCAACCCCACTCGAGATTCCTGATTCGCAATCACACTAGGGAAGGACTCCAATTCTGTCCGATCCTCAACTTTCTCTATTTCAGCTTTGACCAAACTTTTAGTTTCTTCATTTTGATCCTGAACCTGTTCTATTTCATCTTCTGCACCGCTTTCTGTTTTTCCAGATTGGTCCTGAACCTGTTCTATTTCATCTCGTGCACTGCTTTCTGTCTTTCCAGATTGGTCCTGAACCTGTTCTATTTCATCTTCTGCATTGCTTTCTGTTTTTCCAGTTTGATCCTGAACCGGTTCTATTTCATCTTGTGCACTGCTTTGCGCTTTTCCAGTTTGGTCCTGATCCGGTTCTATTTCATCTTCTGTATTGCTTACTTTTTTATCTTCAGCATTGCTTTCTGTTTTTCCAGATTGGTCCTGAACCTGTTCAACTTGTGCATTGCTTTCCACTTTTCCAGTTTGGTCCTGAACCGGTTCTATTTCATCTTCTGCATTGCTTTCGGTTTTATCTTCAGCATTGCTTTCTGTTTTTCCAGATTGTTCCTGAACCTGTTCTATTTCATCTTCTGTATTCCTTTCTGTGTTTCCAGTCTGGTCCTGAACCTGTTCTATTTCATCTTCTGCATTGCTTTTGGTTTCTCCAGATTGGTCCTGAACCGGTTCTAAATCATCTTCTGTATTGCTTTCTGTTTTACCAGTTTGGCCCTGAACCTGCTTTATTTCACCTGCTGCCCCATTCTCAGTTTTTCCACCTTGCTCCTCCATAGCATCAGGATCAGTATCAGCATCTTGAACCCCAACCCCAATACCAAGGGAATTCTGTTGATCTTGGGGAATGCCATTTATCACCAGGAGATTCCCATTAGCCCCATTCACAACGTGTCCCTCACCCCCAAGGGAATTCTGTTGATCTTGGGGAATGCCATTTATCACCAGGAGATTCCCATTAGCCCCATTCACAACGTGTCCCTCACCCCCAAGGGAATTCTGTTGATCTTGGGGAATGCAATTATCCACAGGGAGAATGCCATTAGTCCCATTCGCAATGCCAAGCACCTCAGCCCCAAGGGAATTCTGTTGATCATGGGGGGTGTCATTCTCCACCGCGAAAATCCCATTAGTCCCTTCCACAGCATCATGTCCCCCATCCAACAATTCACTAATTTCCGCACTTTTGGTATCCAATTTTCCGCTTTGAGTATCAAATTTCACACCTTGAACCTCA